CATTAAATTCCAGTGAAATATATTTATGTTTGTGGTTGTAATGTGACAAAATATGGAAAAGTTCAAGGGGTATGAATACTTTTGCAAACCACTGTAGACTAAGGCTTTTGTTTTATTGTACAACAATAAAAGGTTTCTGTGTGGGAGTAGCTCGACCTGAGATCAGCAGCAGTTCAGAATTGGACTGTCAGGAGGGAGTGGGTGTGAGGAAGAATATTTTTAATGGGTTTAAGTCTAAAAGCAACCTCATCAGTCTGTGGATTCCTTTTTTATTTTTCCAAATGGTGGAAGAGAAACCTCAGGTAAATTGTTTTCAACTGCAGAGAAAAGGACTAATAATAGGGGCCTCCTCAGTTCTTGGCACATTTCTCCCCCTGCTTGCAGCTTTCAGAGACACTTTTAACAATGGCAGCTACAATATCCACACATAAACTGAGCACACTTTGATAAGCAGAGTAAAGCTAACCTTTCAGTAGCCTAGTAACAAGCCAAAGTCATTTAAATGCAACTTAAATTGATCTCGCAGTGGCTTGCTCAAACAGGGCGGACAAAAGCAGCCGCAGCGTGATGCTCCATTTTGATCTGATTTCCATGCTGGGTTTGTCTCCCCTTATAGAAGTTTTGATTTAAAATATATTCACGATTTACTCTTGAAATCCATTTATTCATTTATTTTCTTTACCCACTTTTCCTTTCCAGCTCACACAGAGCTGGTGCCTTTCACTTAGCAGTCACTGTGCAAAGTGTCAGGTCTGATCACAAGTCCAACACAGGGCTACAAACAAAACAACAATTTAAGGACAATTTAGAGCTACCAGTTAACCCAGTTACCAGGCCTCCCTTGTAAAAGAGGTCTGTGAATTCAATGGGATTTCCCTGGTTAAATAAAGGTAAATAACCTAACAGAAACTGATAGGGAAAACCCAAATTCAGGGTGAGAACATGCAAACTTCACTCAGAGAGAGGTGATCCTGCAAGTTTCTCAGAGGTGACAGCGCTACTGCATCTGCCTTACTTTTAAAATATGTGACAATTCTTTTTTTACTTGCAAGGCAGCATGTTCACATGAAACAAACCTTTATAAATTCATGCACATTATGTTGATATAAGCAGTGAGGCAGGAAATCTTGTGACTTCTATGGAATGAGGAACTTGGACTCCAAAGGTAAATTAAATCTGACACATCATCCAGGAAGTAAACTCCATCCATTCGAGGCAACAGGTCCAGTGGGGAAGCCCCGTCATCCCTCTCCCCTGCAAAACTCTCCCCCTCCCTTTTGGGAATCCCAAGTCCAGAGAGGATACATAATCTTTCCAGCGAGGTTTAGTTCTGCCCCAGAGTTCTTCTCTTTGGGTCGTGGCCAGAAACAGCAGAGAGCTCTTGCTTACGGGGACCAGATATCTTTTGAAAGGGACGGCAGGACACAGCACTCCCAACAACATTCCTCAGGGAGCACGATTGAAAAAAACTTGGTCCAAATCCACAAAACACATCTGGACTAAACAATCAAACTCCCACGATGTCCATCTGGTCCACTGATGACCTGACGGATTGATAATCAGTCAAAATCTATAATCCCCTAATTTATGTCTTTGAGGACATTATTGTGATTTATGTGGACAGTTTAAAAAATAAATCAAAACGTTTTTTGCCGTTGCCAACTAAAGGTGGTTGTGACTTAAAAGGAAATGTTTCTTATAGAGGTGCTTTTTTATTGTCCTTTCAGGATTCAGAGACACCTCACCTCAGAGTATTTAAAAATCATTCAATGGTAAACAACTGCTAAAGAAATACATGAAGTTGTTTTAAAACTGGGACGAGTGCAATGGAACTTAAAATGATAACTATAAGTAGAAAATAAAAACATAACTTTATGTATAAATGAAAGTACTAGATTGACTTGTATCATTGGTCAAATGTGGTGACACTCCATAATAACCATTGCTTTGAGCTCCCTCTTGAAAACTTTTCTTTACTGAGAGAGCAAGAGTTTACGTCACAAAATGAGGCTGAAATGAAAATTCAGGGATTTTAATCCCAATCATCAATGCAGAGTGAAATATAAATCTGTAAAGTCAAACCTTGACAACATGCTGAACTCTTCACATAATGATAATAAAATAAAAACATACCATATAACTTTATCAGTATCAGTAAAGTTTCACTTCTGTTTTTCACACAAAAAGTTTTCTTCCATTTCTCCAAAACCAGGAGCAGATTTTCAAACCAGCCACAAACTTCACAGGTTGGAACAGGGTTCACTTCTCTTATTTTAACATTCACGGTTCATGACACTCTTTTTTTATCCACAGAAAATCAAACCAGATTGTGTCAGATACATATTTAGAACAGAGAAAGACTTTATTTCCACCCATCAGATCTGTTCCTCAAATCTGCTTATATCTGGATACAAATGATTATTCAGTCTATATATTTTGTTATATTCTTTTCATGAATGTAATTTAAGTAATCAATAAGTTAATAAATATATTTAAAAAAATAATATAAGTAATAGAAAAATTTATTATCACTGAAAGAAAAGTGTTAACTGGACACTTCTTACACAGAGCTGTTAGTCCATGGCGCCCTCTAGTGGTTAAAACATAAATTACATCTGCGTTAGAGGATATTGTTAAAGAGCCAAAAGATCCATCCATCCATCCATTTTCTTCCGCCTATCCGGGGTCGGGTCGCGGGGGCAGCAGCTTCAGAAGGGAGGCCCAGACCTCCCTCTCCCCAGC